GGTACACATGTCTGGTGTCAGTGGTGGAGACAATGTTCAAGCCACTGATGACCGGGTTCCAGGCCTGTACACAATTCAGCTGGAGTGGAAGTGGGTAGGGCGAAAACGTACCGGGAATGTGGTTATGTGTATAGTACTGGCCAGAGGAAATTTGAAGCAGGTTTCTGTACAGGGTATCAAAACACCCTCGTCGGTGCTGGGAATCTATGAAGGTAAAACGGGCCGGATGAAGCGAGGAAACGTTAAATATGACCTACCTCATGAGTGCAGAGGTCGTAGACCAGTTGATCGGGGTCATTCTGGTTATACTGATCAGTGGCAAAAGCAAAAGGTAGGAGGGCTTCTGAACGCACCGTATTGACGGTTTCTTTGCCGTACGAAGCGATCTACGAACGGAGTCGGATAAGTAAGTACGATTGGTAAATTGCACTCCGAATCGTGCACCTACCGATAGCTCGGATCCATATGTCGAAGTCCCATCACTGTTTAGGAGTGGTGGAGCGTTTGGCACTGAAGGCCTGTCTTCCTGGCGAAAGAATGCCCTAAACTGATTAAGAGCCATCTGGTATTTCAGTTGGAAGAGGAGTCCGTTTTTTAAAAAAAAGGGAAGAGAGAAAGCAGTGTTTGCAGTGTTGAGTTGAACTCTAGCGGTTTATATAACAGCAAGTGGTGTTTACAACGATAATGAACGCCCAATACAAAGGGTGCGACCAAGTCTGTTTGTTATTCCAACGACCAACAAACCCTGATAATGGTAGGCCACCTTCGTTATTGTTCTGTGGTTCCGATATGAGATGCGTGCGAGGCAGCGTCAAAGACAAAGAAAGAGATGGTTAGAAAGCCATACTTCATGGTCCCAGCTCGAGGCTCGGAAATAGTACAATATTTAGCTTCGAACTGGGGAGAGCATATACGATGGACAATGCAACAAAGGTAAAAACCTGGCCAGAGCAGTAACTGTTGGGGGGAGGATGACGTCATCACTGGCAGAACTTGCAGGAAGGTGACACACGCTACTGTTACACTACCACCGAACACCTTCCAGTCGTAGCACGCTAGGAGTAAGGGCTCAACCCGGATGTACCCGAATCTGTTCAACGATAGAATCTCAATCTGATTGTCGGCAGGCAGTGCACAAGAGATATGCAACTTGGATCTTCCTCCAGGTGCTCGTAGCAATGATGATATACAGTTCAATTTTCTGATCTTCACCTAGGTTAGTTGCAAAGCGAGCCTGTAGAAGCTCGGCAAGTTTGTTGTGGACGAGACCGAACTCGTGCAGTGTGCTAATTTCCATTGTCAATAATCAAAGCGCGGCCGTGGAGACAGAACCCTAAAGCAGAATCAGAGTATAGATGTTGCCACAGCGCACCACACGCATTGATCCGCTGACATATCATGATTGCTCGCCTGTGTTCATCAAGGAAATTATTCGCGGTGGCAGGGGATCCTCGGTACTCGACCCCCGCTCACCAGTAACCACTGAGGGTTTCCATGTTTCCTGGATCGAGCTGGGATAGTGAAGCCTTTGGTTACCAGTTGTCCTGGTCATAGAATGCCACAGACCTTCCCGAACTGATCAATGTGGGGATGTTTACCTGTCAATTGTCCGTGCTCACAACCTTCATTGTCCATAGTATACAGAATCTCCTATAGTGTCCCGTGACCTGCAGAGCTCTCTATAACTATAGGACAGGAGGCACCCTGCCGTGCTCAGCTTCCCCTCGCCTGGACTGCCATGTTGATTTACCTGTATGTCTTCTCCGCGTCTCCCTTTCATTCTGGATGCACTAATAATCACCAGTATATCCCTCACAATATACACTTCCACCGCCCTGGCACTGGATGCCACTGACGCTAAGTAGCCACTCCATCAATCGCCTTCGTCAACCAGTGACTCACCTTCAGTTTTCAGTGCCACAACCAGTACCACTTCTCCGTCAATGACGCTAATAGGCGTCTTGGCAGGCGGCGCCATGCTGTTCATATTTATAGCCGCTGCATCTGTTTTGTTTTTTCGAACTCGGGAGTCGATGCCATGCTGCAGGCGGCGACGACGGCAACATCCTGAGACTGCGTCGAGGAGGAGTCGTTTCGGCGGGGTAGTACTAGCACTTAGGGAGCCGCGGTATCCGCCGCCAGCGTATAAGGCTTACGAAAAGAGCAGCGCTATGGTCTAACGGGAATGAAAATATGTCGTGATTAAATTCAGGTGTATCTGGAAACATAAGAGGGAATGTCTGTTCTGTTGTATCTGCATCGACTAATTGTATCCATAGTCAAATTTATCTCTGTAGGCGGAATCGTCTACCAGTGCTGGTGTTTATTTTAGAATCCAAAAAAAAAAAAAACCGCAGATATGATCGTCGTTTACATAGCAAAGGATTCTGGACAACAAAGCACGACCTCTGCCCACCATATCTGTGCTGAAGAGTCCGCCGAATAAAGCGAGACCAAATTCAAGTCGTCCACATTTCTCACGACGGGAAAGTCAGTATTCGTCCGAGAGGAGCTGATCTTGGTCGCTTCTCTCTATGAACCAATAAGACTCATGTCAAATTCCGACGAGATGAAGAGTGTCGCACCTGCATAATTTTCTGATAACCCAGCGCGACGTTGAACGCGACATCGAAATATCGCCCTCCGGCACTTTGGTGGCAACACTTGAGGGGGATGCGAATGTATTGCGGGAGATAACCATTAGCCTTGGGAGTCGTCAAATAAGGGTCAACAGTCCTAGAAAAATGGGAAGAACTTACATGAAAAACGACGTCGATGAAGCGGACCCCCGCCATATCCCGGACATGCTCTCCCGGGTTCTTCAAGCAGGTGTAGTTACCACGGAGGATCTGGGCCATACTTACACCCACCCCGCGGGGGGAAGAGACAGAAGACTCGAAAGGAATACGGATGCACTTCAACTCCCACATCGGGAGATCAAACGGGTATAAGCCAAATCCGCTGGTGTCGCGTTCGCAAAAGGCAGGGTAGCGGTAGCCGGTAATTTTCTGTAGGCGCTGCATGAGTCCAGGCGAGGTGCGGGAGGGGCCAGGACATACGGTTGGGATGGTGGTGATGTTGAAATCGCCGAAAGCGAATCCGCTGCGCAGGCAGGGTGTTTCGTAGGGGTCTCCGGGGATCTGAGTAGAGGACTAGATGAGACGCGCTGGGTAGTAGGGAGACTCGCGAGAGGCGTACGACATGCGTGTTCACCTCATAGCTAATTTGCTGTGGGTGGGTCTAGCAGAGTCATTTAGGGCGCAGTGATGGGAATTGGGTGCGTACATTGGGTTGTTCGGTGCCATACGTTGCGAGCTGTGGGTGGACGGTGAGCTGCATCCGAGGAGACCGTGCTTGTGGACGTACGTGTAACTCGAATCCTAGCTGGAGACTTGGTTGACTGCCGTCGAGACGTACTAGCACAGGATCGCGTGGAATCGAAGGCCGGCGAGTTGGGCGCACGAGCGGTGTAATTTGGACGAGCTGTTGCTATTGGCAATTCCTCGATCAGGGAGGGATGGAGAAATGGACTGAATACAAAAACTCACAGGTCTGTGACCTTGGGTTTTTCGAGGGGTGTTGGGGATGGCCATTTTGCTAATTATCAGAGCAGATGAGTTAAAGAGAGTGGCTCGAAATGAGACTGATTCACAGTTTATATAGGCGTGTCCAGCCATGACTACTTTAAATGCCACTCTACAACAAAGGCACGGAGAAGGTCAACGAATGCCATTAAATGATATTAGAAGACAAAGGGAAGCAAAGTAGATGAACAATGCTACGAACGATTGTTATTACCGTTGTCTGCGCCACTTTGACTATAAACCTAGTAAGTAAAAGCTGAATACTACTTCACAGACGTGTATACACAGTGAGATTCCGAAATGTATTTCCCCAAAGAACTGTTGTTGCAGCCGGTTATCTGACAGACGGACACGAATTCGGGAGAGGGTCGTACAGCGCTTTTGATGTCTATGTCGGCTTTAAAGATGTCGACAAACGTTAGCATGCTGCGAACTTGAATATCCATATCAGCAAGCTTCCATAAATGATTTGAAAGGAATGACGAATAGTGTATAATGAAATCGACACGAATACGGCCGGCCAAAGAATCAGAGCTTCAGAAAAGAGTCCGGGTCACTGAAGGTACTCCATCGGCTCCTATTAGGATACATTGTCAACGAGATTATCAAGGAGAAGAAAAGCTGTATCCACTGGGAAGACGACGAGTGAAATAATCAGCCAGAGGTAGATTATTCTTGCAAACGACAAAGGACGATACTACCTGCTCCGCCCCAAGTCGAGCAACAGCATAGTGGAGATTGGTGGCCCCTCTTGTTCACATGAAAGCCAGGTTCGCGTGAGAAGAACGTCAACACTACCCATCTTAACTGCATATTAGCAGAAACCGTGCCTTTTGCGTACTACTGGTTGATACGAATACGGCAGTGAAATACGGGCTTTGTAGTCAAAGTTGGAAATGTTGAGAACGTTGTGAGTTGGAACACACGGCCGAATCCGAAAAAAAAACGGGCCTGGTGGATAGATAAGACGATGAATATTGCCGGACCGGTAGTCCCCGTGGATGACGAGTTTCAAATTCTGAAATGCTCTTTCGCTTCGACTCTCACCATGCCCCAGTGCCAAAAGTGAGTCTCCGGTGGCTTTATGGCTCTCATTCCCGGCCAAAATCTTCTGAAATCTATTACAGAATACCATAATTCTCAGTCAGGTGGGATATAGCTGTAATGGGATCAATAGACGCAGAGAGTCTGTCTGCCAGTAGGACCCTGTACGTCTTCGTATTCGCGAATTATCTGCTAACTGTACTCTGCATAGACAGAAAAGTCACATTTCAAGAAATCGCACCCCGATATCGACCCAGCCTCTCGGAATTTTCTCCAAACTTTTCCCAGAAGTGCGAGTCCATCAATCATAGCACTGAGTCACTGACAGTCCACAGACTTGTGGGCGAGATATACAAAAACGCTGTCAAATTATAGCAGCAACTTGTTTCGATCAAGTGACCTCAGGGTTGCATTTATGAGCCCCGCGCGCTACCACTGCGCCATGCTGCTATTACCACATCAAGTCGGGTTTCGTAAGAGCTCGCTGAGGAGGCGTCGTACCTTGATGCTGGTGCAATGATTACCGGTTACCCTCGACTAGTCGCTTATACCTGTGTCCCTGCACGTCATCCAGTGGCGGCGCCCGCTCGGTATTGACATCTTCCTGCAAAAGAAGACAGACAACGACGACGACGAGGGGGGGAAAATAGTGCTTCCCGCTTGGTAGTCTCACCATATAGGATGTATGGAGGCTGGGGCTTGCTTGTTGAACTAGAAATAGTGAGGTTTCGGGAGGGGGGGGGGGGGGCATGGGGGACCAATGAAACACGTTCCATTGTATTTTTCACGAGGTGATCGATCGCATGGTTGTGGGCTTGCCTCGAAAATTCGGGAAACCTCATCTGATTGAATAAGGATCATGATCAAATTTGGTTTTTAAAAAAATGCGTCCCATTCTAATTTCATTCCAACTCGAACGAAACAGAAACAATGGATGTATCTCTAATAATTCATTCATTCATTCAACGTGCGGGTTCGGAACATACCGTACAGCCACCGCTTGCCCTTCCTTCCCGCCTCCTTGTTTCCAACTTCCATCAGCAAAAAAAAAATCATGATGATGCTGCCAGAATTCTCGCTTCTCACCGCTTGGCACTTGTCCAGGATTTCGCCAACAGACAGGCGCCTTCAAAGAGGCCCAACTGCCTCGACCGGTAACCACCCAATCACCCATTTTTCTCCTGGCTTCTTTCTTGAGAGTGACAGCAAGTCACCGTGAGCATGGCGGATCCCGAAAACGGCAAAAAGGAAGCATGGTTACACCACGTGGCTTGGTATTCAAATAGTTTCGCACAGGAAATTTCCCTCGCTTTCCACCTTTTGCACTCTTTCCCTTGTTGCTGTTGCTGTTGCTGTTGCTGTTGTTGTTGGTGCCCCCATTCGCGATGCTGTCCTCCATCTTTGCTCTCGCTCTCCTGCCCTTGTCGGCTCTCTCACTCACTGTTAACAATCCGTCCACGACAGTCACATCCGGTGGGAACCTCACCATTACATGGTCCACGACGGCGAGCGACCCATCGACATTCCACATCGAGCTGGCAAACGTCGCTTTCAACAGCCAGTTCGCTATCGCGAACAACGTCAATGCCAGTGCGGGGTCACTCACCGTGCAGCTCCCTGAGGTCGTCCCTGGGTAAGTGCAGATTGCTGCTCCGTATGGGTCCGTGTGAAGCTCATTTTTCGTTTGTAGGAGCGGCTTTGCGATTCAGTTCGTGAACGTTGCGAATATCAGCCAAGTTTATGCGCAGACTAGTGACTTTGCGGTTGCCAATGCTGTTTCGGGTTCTGCCCCGACAGGTCCTGCCTCGACAGCAACGGGCTCAGCGGCTGCAACAGGCTCGACGGCTGCAACAGGCACTGCCTCAGTCTCTCTGAGTGTATCTGGCTCAGTTACCGTGACTGAGTGAGTTTCCTTTTCCCCCCCTTCATTTCCGCTCCGGCGTCTTTTTCAAAATTGAAGCCTATTGTTTATTCGGAACCTCGTGGGAGACCATTATACTAACTGTCAATTTTTTTTTTTTGTGTAGGTCTGCTTCCACGAGGTCCGCGACATCCACTAGGCCAGCTTCTGGCTCTGGATCCAGTGCCTCTGCATCTTCCTCGGCTTCTTCGACTTCCAACGCCGCCTCGACGCTCCAGATCGGTGGTGCTGGTATCCTGGCTGCCATGCTTGGATGGGTCGTTGTTATCTAGTTTTTCCGTGATAAGGTCTGGGTCGGCTGTTATCGGTTGTACGATTTTTTTTCTTTTTTTACATTACGTTTCCTCCATCCCTCCCTTTGTCATGAACCTCCGCCTACTTACGAACGTTCAGTATATTTATTGGACACTTACATACAACTCATACCCCCGACAGTCATCTCGTACCGAAAAAAACTTTTTGTGTACTGCCGTACCGTACATACGATACCATAGCTACCGACCTCTGCTTGTCATTGTCAAATGCTGTCATTTCCTAGTCTGTTGTCATTTTTATCATTTACCCGTCTGTTGGTGTGCTATTTGCAATACTATGCTGTTGGGTCGGGGTCGGTGGCGTCTTGTCAATGGTGTTGGACTTTTTGGCTTCTCTTTATGAAGGTGGTGTCAATTAGCGGGATTCAATTTAATTTGTGCATTCAACTGGATGCAGATAATACGTATTGCGGGTACTCAAAATTTATGTCAAAAGTACGTATACACGCCAGAAGCTGGAACTCAAAACCCTCGGTCCCGTGAGGTACATTGACCGGTCGTTCGCATCAGTCTGAGTATACCAATTTCATTGTAAAGGCTTGGCGACTTTCAAGCCAAAAAATATTTAAAAAAGCCAGAGAAACCCCAAGTTTGTTAATTCCATGTTTTGTCGTTCAGGGCTGACGATTTCCCCCCCGCATTATCATGCTCTCCCGTTCTTCGGCCTCACGTGTACCTGGCGGAGTCCTTCCCCATGCCAATGGGTCGCATGAAAGAGGGGAATAGCTTTTTGGTCGGATCTCGCTCCTCCATTTCCAAGATTTGGGTTTTACTGGGCTTATCCCGGATTTGAATCTTCTAATACCCGAACGGATAGATGTGATCGGGGTAATGCGGGCCATGGAAGACCGAGGCTGGGGTTAATGAACGCCGAGGAATGATTGTCCGTGTTTGATTCAAGCGTCGGGCATCATGTCCCATCGCTGTTGACATTGTACAAAAAGTAGTAATGGATACAAGGTTCCAAAAATGCAGATAGGGGTCAAGCAGCAGTACGACTCCCCGACTCCCATATCGAGTTCTAGCTAACGTTGGAGGACGACATCCTAGAATCCATCACGTGTTTACTGGATGGCGGACCGGGGGTCCGTATCGTGGGTAACCGGTAACTGGTCTCAAAATACTCCTTCGCTTCGACCACCATCATACTCCACCCAGTGCAAAACAGCAAGTTCTCAGTTCCCTGCTAGTATCTCTGACTAAACTCTTACTGGCCCTACTACAGGATACCATAATTCTCACTGGGGTGCGGTAGAGCCGTGATGGGAGCAGTAGACGCAGAAACTGTCTGCCAGTGGGTACGTGTACGTCTGGCTTATTTGTGAATTATCTTCTGACTGTACTCTGTGGATAGACAGAAAAGCCACCTCTAAAGAAATTGCGACTCGATGGTACCTCCTTTTCGCCAAATATGATCCCAATGCCCCCACCCATCGACCGTCTTCCTACTGAACTTCTCCTCTCAATTTTCTCCAATCTTTTCCCAGCAATATGGAGCCACGTAACTCCAATCCGTCTCTCGCTCGTTTGCTCTCGATGGCGCACTATCGTGTTATCCTCCCCTGATTTTTGGTCGTCCATCTTTATTGGGCGTTGGTGCGACACTGAAATCATCGGTGCCTACCTTGCACATTCAAATCACAGAGCGCTGAACATTGCAATGCATATTCCTAGCAAAGATACATTCCTGAATGAATGTTTCCAGGAGCCCATTGAGCTATGCGTGGAGCATGCTGCTCGGTGGCGCTCGCTCGACGTTACCATCCCCTTCTCCGGATTTCTCTCAATGACCCGACAGGGAAAACTGGACCTACCCTTACTCGAATCTCTAACCATTGGCTCATGCTGGAGCGTAAACGACATGTCAGACCTAGACGAAGCATCGCGTCTCATCCGACGAGCGCCCAAATTGCGCCATATCCGTTTCCGAGGCTCCGTCCACGAGAACTACTCCTCGCCTGCTGCCCTTCCATGGAAACAGATCACCAGCGTAAGCTACTCAAATTGCCACAGCCCCCTCATATCTGACCACCTCGCGTACCTCTCCAATGTGGAAAGCCTAACCATCAAGGCGCCGATGTGCCACCACGCGCAGCTGGGGGATAATGTCATCTCGCCGCTACGTGTCCTTTCCCTGCGATCCATATACAACGCGCGCTTCGTCTCGGGGATCCTTGACACTACCAAACTCTCTCTTCCCAGCTTGGTGGAGCTGAACGTCACGCACTGTACCAAGATGCTGCCGTCCGTTGTCTCGCCGTTCATTCGGGGGCTGACTCGGCTGACGTTGGTGGATAACACGACGTTTGATGATGCTGCGGTCGTCGCGCTGCTGGAGGATACGCCCAAATTGGAAGAGTTCGTGTTGCGAGAGAGTAAAGGGCATTCGGTATCGTGTGTGACGCCGAAGCTCCTTGCGTTCATGTCGAAACCGTCTGCGGTGCGGAAGCTGAGGTCCATCGAGATGATGATGAACCCGCCTGTCCCTGAGGACATGCTGTTGGGGATGGTCCAGTGTCGGACAGCGTTGGAGTTGGTCGAGATTGGCCTCGTGAAAGGATGCTTTATGGAGGAGACTGTGAGATCCCTTGGGGACTGCTTTTATGGGTTTACGGTTGAGGATCGGGTATTAGATCATGCATTTTTGCTTAGGCGATGTTCCTTTTTGTGAATCGAAAGTGAGTCCTGGAGCATTGTTGCCATAATCAGTCAGTCGATCAGTTTCGAATTCCACCTTGGTTTACAATATTAAATAGCAGCATTTCATTTCATAGAAAAACATAAGGACAGCATACAAGACAATGACAAAAAGAACATGCAACATATGGGATCAGTGAAAAGTATTTAGTACAATGAAAGTCCTGATGATCCAGGCACCAAGTATCATGATAGTAGTAGAAGATTACTACAAAAGGCATCATCAGTTTCACTGGCAATTCATTCATCACAAAGCATTACCACTCACCATGAAATACATGCGCTCTGCCTGAATACCATGTACCTCCTGATATTGTTCTCGGTGCTGAGCAAGCATCTCTTCTGAGGTTTGCGACCCTCCAGGCATGACCAACAGCAAAGCACCCTGGGGATCATAATGTGTCTTCGCCCGGCTACAAACAATATGGGCATCTGCCAAATACATAAGCAAAGCAGCCTGCAGCAGACAGAAAGGACACACAATACACAGGTGTAGGAATGGACACCGAGCGCGTCGA